GACTGGAGCACTGCAATTCCTGGACCTTTGTCTTTATATAAAAACTATCGGTTATGTGAGTAGCATAAAAAACAGAGTTTCGAAAAGAATAATCCATGTAAGAAGTTTAGCTAGTAACAGCAGATATTTCATCCAAAACTATTGTTCAAGTTTATGAACCATATATCATATTCCTATTTAATATTCTTGCCCAGCCTGGTTTAATCCAACTTTTATAAATTACGAATAATCAGAAATTAAGTGTTATGTACAGCTTACATAATATCCATATAGACATCGGTAAAGTTTCTACACTTATGTAGAAATTATATATACCTCCCCTTGTTGTCAGATAGTTTAATGAACATTGAAGAAATCTACTTAGGAAAAATCTTAACAAAATGATATCTTGTGCAACCATGATAACTACATGGTTAAATACCTATCCTCTGTCTACTCCAGCTTCCATTCCAAGACCACACAATGATAGGTAACATTAAATGCAACTTGTATTAAAATTTCTCTGTATCTGACTTATACAAACTATAGCACAAATTTTAATGATGTGTTGAGGTAGTGATGACTCATAGACAATCCTGAAAAAGGTCGTGTGCTGAATAGTGATGTCCACAGACTTTCTTGTGTATTTTATTTATCACCACAGGCTGCGTGAAAGTACTACTACTAAGAACTTCTGCCTCAAAGTAAAGTGTATAATAATATGTCAACCATGATATAACTTCTATATCCAGGACCGACGAGACCTTTCGCCCAGTACTAGCACTCTTCGAGCCTGCTGGTATATATTAGTCCCACAACTGGCCGACCTCATCATTGACCAAAACCACGATATAAAGAAAGCATCACCAATATGGGTAATGTTTCTCAACTTCTAGCTCAAAACTAAATCTGTTTCTTTATATCCCTTAGCCAAATGCGAAAAAATTAATTGCTGATTTAAATATGTACGTGATGTATAATGCTAATATATTGCTCTCTAATAACTTAAAGCTGTAAAAAATGTACAGTGATTAACATGAAATAAACTTTTTAATACATTTCTGTCTTTCAGCACTATTACCAAATTCGAAAATTTCTAGGTTTGCAATTCCTTCCTCTTTCAGATTTCACTTAACCCCAAATGTTTTTTTTTTTCTATCAACTAAACGTACAAAAACCAATTGGAATTCTAATAGGATATTTCTATTATGAAAACTACCACAAGAACGTATAAAAACGACATTTCCCAAGATTCCTGTTATTTCACATAATTGACACGTCTGAAAGCGCGAATGTGACTCGTTTCCTACACCATCATCAGTAAAAAAGAAGAGAGAGAAAGATCTCACTAGTTATCTAGCCATAGGGGCCGAGTATGTGCTTCCCTCGGGAAAAGTACGTAATACGGAAGCCTAACATATTAATTATCTTGCCTTTTCCCTTGAGAAAAGGAAAACTTAAAGCCTATGCATCTAACAAGGGCTATTAGAAGTTATTTTTTAACTAAATAATATTATTATTTATTAGTCAGAAAACAATAAGTATGATAGTAACTAGCAAACTCTGTACCTTCTAAGACAATTCATCCCACCGAACTCCATCTTACACCTTTCCCTAATGCAGACTGATATCCAATTTGTTCCCCACCTTACAAGTTACAGTAGAGATCGTCGCTCTTGATCATCATCTACACTTTCTATTACTTTCATATCTTGAGAAAATGATATTCTGCGTCCACCAAACTTTTCTTTGCTGTTTTTTTTTATACTTGTAAAACACAGTTAATCTTAAAATTAGTGTCGGTGGCTAAAAGTCACTACACTGTTAATCGAAAACAAGGCAGTGATAATGCTATTAATACAAAATAGTACTCTTAAAAATACACTTCTCATTTAAAACGTATAGCCAAAGGACATTTAAAAAATAATAATGTGACTCATTACAGTTTTACAATCTAATGAAGAAAATGGCCATTGTCTGATATTATTCCTATGTAACTTTCCACAGTTACAAAAAGGTTAATAATGAAAAATATCTCATCTTTTGCTTGAAATTGAATCAGTTTATACTTTTTTCAACAAACGGAAATTCCGTATTAGTTCGTTTTTGATTACTTTTCTTTATAGATGATGAATAATTTCTCATAATGAGTAGCGAATTTTTTCACTTTCCTTGTTTGGTTGGTTTGTTGTTAACCGCAAAGCCACAAAATGGGCTATCTGTACTCCACCCACAACGAATATTAAAATAAAGTTTTATCATTGTAAGTTTGCAGACTTACAAGTGAGCCATTAGGGGGCTTCAGCTTCCTATCTTTAATCTTAAAATGACAATTATTTGCTGATATAGATTGGTGTCCATTGGAAATTTCATGGTATGTAGGTAACCAAGAAATATTAAGACTTGATACAGATCTCTTTAAGCCAAAATGATAATAATGCGGTATTCTTGTAAACACCGTTGACTCAATAAGCTAGATGATGATCCAAAAGTTAAAAAAAAAGGGAAATAAAACAAACATCTATTAGTTGCGTTTATATTTGTTGTGTTTCTATATGTATGCATATATTTGCAAGTGTCATTTACTAGATTTTAATTTTTATATCGTTACACTGCTGTGAGTTTTTGTCTAAGTAATTATTGCGTGATTTGTGTCTTTAAAAAGGAAAAAAAAAGTCCCCCTGGTAGGTCAGCGGTAAACTTAAGGACTTCCAAAACTAAAACCCGGGGTTTAATTTCCTGCAGTACACAATGTATAGAGTCTATTGTATGTCTTTGCACTAAGAAAACAACAACAAAAGAAAAGGGAAATCGCAAATCAAGGACGAAACCTTTATTTGAATAATAGAAGGCATAATAACATCTAACAAATATAATGTTTCTCTGGACTAAGTCCTAACAATTACAAAACAATCTTAAGCCCTACAAAGACTATTCTTACGTAGAAATAATCAAATTATAATCTGTTTCATCAGCAAACTTCTAGATCGATAACATTTAAATCGTCAAAGCAATGTTTAACGTTATTATTTCGTTGGTGAGTTATCTTAGATTATCTGGTGAAATTATTCAAAGTTTAGTTCGCGTAACGATAACAAATCACTTTATTTCTTCCTTAATGTTTTTAAGCTTAAATACTGTGGTAATTTTTGATTACTTTTACAGTCGCTCCACCTTTACTGCACTAAAGGTCCTTCTGTGGGACTTACAACAGTAAAATCCGGGGTTAGATTCCTCGTAGTAGACACAACAGATAGCTCAATGTGGCTTTGTTCTAGCATAAATAAAAACTCCACTCAAGTAAAATTAAACTTACTTGTACAACTTCACAAATCACTGATCGATCAAGTAAGTGAAAATAAAAGAGTGACTGAAATAAAAATACTTTTTGACTGATTCACTCTTCTGACTAAAAACAACTCTACCTTTTTGCTTCACTAATCCTCATACTTATAATCTGTTCCTCAAACTTACAAGAAATTCTCACGTAAAAAAGTTTAGAACCTTCTCGACCTACAGTATTATTATTTTTTTATCTAAACGAAATACGCCATCTCGTTAACATTTTTGTACAGCATTAAAAAAATATACCTTACAACAACACTTTCAGTGAGCAATTTTGAAAACTATTATAATTTTTTATTAAACCACAGTTTTTGCTTCACTGAACTATGAAAGCCATAGCCTGAACCAAATCAGAGAGAGTCAGTTTTTCGCGTAAAAAATTATTTATTTTCTTTAATCAGAAATAATAAACAGTGGCTATGCATACTTAACTTCGACCAAAAGTTATGTTTCTGCTAAAAACAGGAGTGCATTTCATCCTGTGGATAAGTTCTGAATTTTGGAGCTGGCAAGCGAGATTCGAATCCTTTGATACTACAGAGTATTACTCACATTTTAAAACTGTGGGTTATTATGATAATGACAATATTACTTACTACAGGCAATATCTCGCAGTCGAGGATGACAGTCTTCCTTGAAAATCTTATCCATGTGTCCAAAGATAGCTGAGTGTGTAACTTTGTGCATAACAAGAAATAAACAAACAAAACTTTTACAACTTAAAAAACAGCAAAGGAAGTTCTGAATGTTAAATATTTTTTGAAAGGATAAGCATTTCTAGACACCATTAATCTATGAACGATAAGGCGTTGAAAATTTGGCGCAATAAAAAATAAAGATCTATTCTCTAAATTATCTTATTAAATGAGGAAATAACCGTCTGTAACAATCGTAGTATATTGTTGCGTATCTGCTTGTTTGTTAATTTCCCTTAGAAATTCTTTCCGAGAAACTTCAGCGATACAGGTCCTTTCTTAATTAAAACTAGTTTATTCTTTCTCGATACAACTTTGCAATACACAGAATTTTCACAGTCACTTTAACTTAACTACTTTCATAAACACACGCTATAATTCATAGCGATTCACACACTTTAATTACGGTGCCTACTGTTCACTTGACTCAATTATCAGTTATTTCTCTTCAATCTATCTCCGGCTTATATACTAAAAAAGAGGGCGTCTAGC